GTGACCCCAAATTTAAAAATGAAAAAAATTACTAATTACTTCTCAACCACCAGTCCTGCTAATAAAAGATTACCCTAAAAAAACCCTAAATAAAAGATTAACAAGATGTGAGTCCCGGCACCTTTTTTTTTTTTTTTTTTTTTTACAAAAAAAGCATTGGTTATCGCTATGTTACAAGAATGGTATGAGATGGAAACAAAGAGAAGGACCAACTATACAACTTCTGGTAATGGAACAATTTGATCAACCCTTCCCCTGGTAAAGGTTTGTTGAGCATTTCATTGTCACATGACATGAAGCATGGCAAAGTGTGGAGTGGATTCCTTTCAAATTAGGTGGTATCTAGTCTGAAGACTAGCCTCTTCAGGACAATTCATCAGGCCACCTACCTAAAGATGGGCTGGCTACAACTTGCTTACTAAGACCCTGAAAAGTTATTTTAATGCAACAGCTTTTTGTTATTTTAGAAAGTCGTGTTTGTTTTTAGTTAGCATTTGCTTTTAGAACGTCACTTTTTGGTGATGGTGGTTGGTTGCCACAACTGAGTGTTGGAAAAGCTCCATACAAGTGACATATATTGGCCCTCCTGAGTTGGCCTCAGTTCTACCTGCCAAGTCCTAATACAAGTGAGGCACAATAAACAAAGTCAGAGAACTTCTTTCATTGCTTCATATACATAAATTCAGCTGAGAAAAAAAATCTCAGGCAGTGAGTAGGGTTGAGGGCCAAAGAGAGAGGGGCAAAAGGCGGGGCCCAAAATGCCGGCATATTTTGCCAGTAAGTAAGCCTTAGGGAGAGGCATTTTAGCCTTTTAGAATGGGGGGAAAGTGCACAAAACCAGGAAGCCACCCAATTATCCTTGGCCAGAGAAAAAGGAGTGGGGCTGAGGAGAGGCCATCTGAGATACCCCAGAGGGTGGGATGTGGTCCCCCAGGTTGACTAGATGCAATCCCCAGGAAAATCTGGAAGGAGATGAATACTCTTTCTAAATGTCACATCGATATAAGAGGCAGCCTATGTGTAGATGCAGCATCTGTCTTTGACACATACCATTTGGATGCCATCCCCAAGCATACTCTTCATATACATGAAGCTCTGGTGTTCAGGTGGCACCAAGACTGTAGATGCAGACTGTGGCTGCTTGGCTTGGCTTCTGCAGGAAAATCCATTCATGGCACAGATTACTGCCCAGTGCATACAAACACTGACTGCTCCTCCTCTAAAGACTTCTGCAAAGCTACCTATTTCCTTTGGAACCTGAAACTGACTGACTGTAGCTAGACAGTTAAAATATTTCTTTATACATTAATGCAGAGCTCACTTCCTTGGCCATATTCACATACTGTAAATTTGTTGATAGTCATGAAATAGATTTCTTAAATTTTCAGTACCTGATTTGTAACCTCGCTGGGTGGATTGTACAATAAATTCCTTTAAACTGGCTTGTTATGCAAATTCATGAGATACATGTTTCTCTGTCTCTGTCTCTGATGTTCCAGGAGAAAACTGTTTTGAAATGAAGGAATAAAAATGAGAAACATCAGTAGCTGCTTTAACCATTTACAAACCAACTGATATAAATTATGATGAAGTTCAGTCATGTACCATAGCCATTCAGGTGTCAGATTTTCCCGTAAATAATTGGAATCTTCTAATACATACTGCTGTCTTCCAAACATTATAAATGCCATCCTTGTAACCATTAAGATTCCTAGCATTTACTGCAGCATATCTGTTACAGCAAAAGCCCCAAGTGTAACAAATGTTAGCATTGTAAGTGTTTGCATATGAACTCCACATTTCCTTCCATGAATGTCTGAAAATATCCACTTCTTGGACATAAACTAATGATTGCTGAATATCACATTTAAATGCTGAAAATCACATTTAAGTGCATAAAATACTTAGGCATCTTAAAAACTATTTCGATTACAGCTAGTTAGAATGAAGACTAATATATTATGCCCAACGTATTTCAGAAAGGACTTCATGCATTTAAGACACTGGTGGAATCAGAAAGATTCTCTGCAACATATTTGGAGAAATATAAGCAGCCCCTGAGGAAAGAAGGTCCTTTTTGAAAGGCATTGGGCATGATACAAATGTCTTCAGTCCCTATTGCAGTTGGTGTGTGAGCTTGTGTGTGCCGAGGTAGATTGGTTTATGAGCACTGCATCACATGTGCTCTGAAATAAGCTGACACACACACAAAAAATGGGAAATAGCACCAGTTACTTCCAGATTTAGTTTTCCTTCCCTGGTTTCACCTACTTGTATTAAAATTTAAATGGCTTAAACCCTCCTTTCCTGGTTTTTTCTCCCTTCCTTCCCTTCTCTACTGGCCTCTGTTGCTGTAAGTAGCCGATCAGGCTTTCCCCAATTTGCTCTGGGAAACGAGATTCCCCCAAAGGCTTTGGAAGTGGTGGTTCTATGTATACCTTCTCCTACCCTCCAAAGAGCTCAAGATGGCTTGTGTATATTTGCCCATCCATATTTATTTCTCCAATGAATTTCCATGGTTGGTTAGGCTAAGAGAGACTGACTGGGCCAAACAACCCAGTGGGGCTTTAATCATGGGCCTTCTCAGGCTTAGTCCAACACACCAGCCTTGCAAGTTGGGGTGTTTCCAGGTATAATGTTACAACATTTGAACTGAGAGGCCCAGATTTCAAATTTTGCCTTGGTCACAAGTTCAGTGGGTAATTAGGCAAAACACTGTTTTATTTTGTTGCTTTAGTCTTAGTGCTCCCTCAATCTGCTATGTTGGTGGGGAACTTGTGCCTCTTTGGATGCTTTGGCCTACAGTTCCCATAATCCCTCACCATCGGCTATGCTTTTTATGCTTATACTTGTAGGGCCACACATTGCCATCTCCCCTGTGCTAGAGGATAACAATAGTGATATGCCTTGAAAGAGTTCTGTGGGATTTAGTGAGATCAGGAATTTGAACTACTTGAAATGTCCTGTCTAAAAGTAATATTGTTGTGCTATGGTGGTTGTGGTGGCAATGGCAATGGTGGTTAATGCTATTGTTGTTACTACACATTTGTCAATGCATAACTGAAATTACTCCTGATAAAATTGAAAGTAGAAAATGGAAAAGTAGGACTGCAGCTGAATATTAAACCAAAATTGTGGGTACAGCAGATTTACAGAACTTCACTGTGAACAATGAAGAAATTGAAATTGTGAAAGAATTGACATACTTTGGTTCAGTTGTTGATTTAAAAAGAGACTACAACCAAGAAATTAGAAGATGACAGACTTGGAAGGGCAGCAGTAAAAATAAAAATAAAAAACCTAGAAAAGAACATCAAGTGTAAGAATGTTTCACTGAAGACCAAGGCTAAGATCATTTGTACAACTATATTCTCAGTTATTATGTATGGATGTGAAAGCATGCAGGAAAGACATGATGGTGCCAGAGGGCAGCTTCGTGGACCAGCAGAAAGATGAACGAGTAAGTCCTATATTAAGGCAAGGCAGCTCTTTCCCTGAAAGCAAAAGTGACAAAATGTACATTATATACTTTGAATACATCATGAGGTGGCAAGACTCACTGGACAAGATAATCATGTTTGAGAAAGTTAAAGGCAAAAGATGAAAGGGAAGACCAAATCTGAGATGGATTGAATCTATAAAGGAAGCCACAGCCTTGAGTTTACAGGAGCTGTGTAGGGCTGTCACTGACAGGGTATTTTGGAAGACCTTCATTCATAGGTTTGCCATAAATTGGAGATAACTTGATGGCACTTGGCAATAGCTAATGATGCTTCATGGCAGAAGCAAAAATAAAGTGGACTCCTGTCCTGACCATCTTAAAATCTAGTGTTTGGATGAAGGATCAGAAATTTAAATTATGCTTTGGATTCATTTTTAAGGAAGGAGCATGAATAAAGGAAGCATTCTCCCCTTAATTTATAATTACTAAATGCCTGCTTTCACACTTCACTTCTTACACTTATTTTTTAAAAAATCTCATCTGCTATAATGAGGGCTGGAAAAATAGTGTAAATTTCAATGGGTCAGACCAACATTTTTAAATCTGGGAGGAACTTAATGTTTAGACTTGCTGAGGTTACCTGAAGAAAGAGAAAATGATCAAGAGGAAAGTGAAACTGCTGTGGAATCTAAACTCTGGAAAGGGAAGAAGAACAAAAGCTAAAAGAAGGAGAAGCTCATGTGGGGCAGGGGAAAGGGGCATAGGCAAGGCTGCCTTATTACAGTTCCCCAACCATGAGCAGACTAATTTGCATAGTGGATTTTGGTGCACTGTGCAGCATCTGCTCCTTGCAACTGTTGCTGCTTAGTGGGAAAGGATTACAGCAGCCTTCCCCAACCTAGTGCCCTCTAGATGTTTTTGATAACCATTCTCCTGATCATTAGCCATACTGGCTGTGGCTGATAGACTAGTAGACCAAAACATCTGGAGGCCACCAGGTTGGGCAAGGGTTGCTGAGAAAAAGCATCTTTTTACCAAGGTGGTTCCAGCTCAAAATGCTTTGACTTTAGTTCCCTAGACTGTGGAATACTGTAACCTAGAAACTGACTGTGCCAACAATTGGGAATTGAAAACACAGCTACAAACAGCAGTGTAGCCTGCACCGAGGCTTTTAGTATATCAGCTGAGTAAATAAACATATCTAATTAGCTGCTCAGCAAGCAATGCTGTCATTGACACCTCGCTGCCAGCCAGCTATATTGCTGCTCCCCCAACACAGTTTGCAGTATTACTTGGTGGCATGTTTTGGTGAAGAAAATGCCTCGTCCAAGCAGATGTCGACTGCAGGTCTGCGTGACCGGTAGCATTACAGCATTATGTGTGCACACCTGACAGGCATAAGTTCATGTCCTAAAGCATCACCCTAAGATTTCAAGGAATCCCATTTTTTAAATATCTGCATAGTTAAATATATTAATGGACATATCAAATTACTTTCACTCTGAAATTTCATCTTGTTAAGCAGGTAATTCTCAGACGGATCAATGAAAACAAAACGATGACAAGTTGTGGTCTACAGTCCTTAAATACGCTGATGGTCGTGTTCTCCTTGCTCTTGCCAGCAGGTAAGCCTTGCTTTTTAATCAGTATTTTAATTCTGTAAAAAATTTAGAAGCATGGTTTCATTTTACCTTTTTTCATCAAAGACAGGACAAGACAGGGCACTTCCTGATATGTTGGGGCATGAGCTTGCTCAGGTAAGCACAGACACCATCAGGTGCATTTAATGAAGCTGAGGCCATCTTTGATGAAGGCTATTATAGGCTCTTTCCTGCAAAAACTCATGCCTCAATACTTATTTGTCTTTAAGGCAATCCAATGCCCTCCACTGCAGATGCACGGAAGCTTCCAAACTCAATGGCTTGCTGAATCCAGTAGAGTGGTGCCTCGGCTCATGAATGCCATGGTTCACAACCAAATTGGATCACAAACAAAAATTTCATGAAAATCTTGACTTGGGTCGCGAACTCTGCATTGGGTGGCAACCAAGATCACGGCCATCTCCCCACCCCACCCCACCACCCTGAGTGGGGAGATGGCCATGATCGCGCTGTTGCGTTCGTGCAGGGAAGACATACATGATCACAGGCGCGCTCCTGCAGGAAAGATGGGCGCAATCTCAGCCATCTCCCCCCCCACCAACCAGCACGATCGCAGCCATCTCCCCACCCCCACCCCGAGTGGGGAGGTGGCCATGATCACAGTTGCATTCGTGCAGGGAAGACATAGAGGAGCTGACGACAGAAGAACTTGCTGAACTCCAGAGTGAGCAGCAGAAGGCACTTGCTGAGGAGGATTCCACTGAGGAAGAGGAAGACAGGGAGGAGGTTAGCAGTGATGTGATACAATCCATTATGAAAAAAATTGAATGAGTCCCAGGATTTCTTTGAGAAGCACCACCCCAACATAACTGTAACAAACAGAGTGTTGAATCTGATGAACGATAACGTGGTCTTTCATTTCCGGAGGGTTATGCAGCGCAGGAAAAAACAAGTGACTATAGACAGATTTTTCACCAAAATTGACCCTGCAGCTAAGAGACAAGGAAGAGAGGAAATCCCTGAAAGAGATCTCCCCAGTGTCTTTATGCAGGGGGATTCTCCCTCAAAACAATAACCTCCCTCCCCGCAACTAGGTTAGTGTTCTCCACTGTACTGTATAGGACGTTGTTACTTTGTTGCTCTTTGTCACTTTGTTTCAAATTTTTCTGATTAAAAAAAATAGTTCCAGAATGGATTAACCTTCTTTACATGGAATGTTATAGGGAAATTTGACTTGGGTCACAACCAATTTGGGTCACAACCAGAGTTGTGGAATGGATTAAGTTTGTGAGCCAACCTACCACTGTTTATGGAGTGAAGTGCAGCAGAAGCAATCTCTGCCTTACCATATATTGAGTTTTCATCTGGATATCTGTTTTCAGCTGTCTAGATGAAGTGCTGAAGAGGGGGAGGAAGGAGGCTGGAGCACCACTAGGAAATGCCACCAACCTGAGCCTTCTCCAGTCCCTGCCCCTTGGCATGCTCCTTTCTGCCCAGCAAGGCCCAGTTCTGTCCAGAGGGGCAACCGTCAGAGCTTTTTCTGCACTTGCCACAAGGGGAGTGTGTTGGGGCTCAGCCTTTGAAGTAGCAACTCTGGCATTGGAGGAGTCAGAGATGGTGCTCCAAATAATTCCGTGCTCCCCCACCCGGACTATGTTGGGAGTCCGTAGGATTGTACCCAAAGATACTGCATGGCTTTGCTGTTGCTTTTTAAAATATCATTCAGCCTGACTTGAGTAAAGGAAGTAATTGGTTTTAGAATACAAGGTCAAGAACTGACTAGCCTCAGAGCAGCTCTACTGTAGTTAGGCCTGTTGTACATGACTAGGTACCACAGGTGGACATGCACATACTTGCTTTCAGCAAGAGGTGCCCATTTTAAGTTGAGAAGGGCCCAAATAAGCATCATGCTGAGGTTGCTAATTTGCATTCAAATGCATCTTAGCACAGAGATCACAAAGAGATATCCTTTGCTAGATTGGCATTGAATTAACACTTATAACCACTTAAAAACACATCATATAACGGCCTAGTTAATGCTAACTTATGGTTTGTTATCCCACCATGGTAGTTTCTGGCAGACAACTGAACAAACTGTGGTATTTTCAGTCCCTGTGTGGTTGGTTTCCCTGCTCCTTTGCCAGTTTTCTCCCTGTATAGTACTGCTGCACTTGCATGTCAAGCAGCTGGTTCACACATAATGAAAACCCATAATCTTAACAACCCAGAATTTTCAATCTACCAGTAAACCGTGGGTCCTTGTTTTTGGTCGTTTGTTGTTTGCAAACTATTGTTTAGTACCGTGGCTGTGTTTACACATCACAACAACATAGAATTCAACAACCCATATGCACTGGTTATGTGTAAATCAGGCCAGTATTATCTGCCTCTGATTTATTGTATTTTTGTGATTCTCAGACTGTGGATTGGGCACACATGGAGGCATAAAATACTTGGATGAGAATGCAAAGATTTAGGAAAAGCTGCAAGATCCCCAGGGAGGCAGACCCACCCCTAATCAGGCAGGACACATTGAATGTTCCTCTCCTCATTGATTCCTGTTTGATTTGTGGGAACAGCATTTCTACCAACAGAAGAATGAGCTACTGCTTTCTTTGAATGGAGATTCCTGTGTGGCATCATAGGTGGTACAGAAATTTTGTTAGATTTCTCCTTCCTAATGCCTTAGATTAGTGCCCCAATCATGCCTGTGACCGTATGGAAGTGCAGGAACAGACAGCTTGTGCTGATATGGAGACAAGTCTAAAAAAGTTCAAAAGTAGTGATCATAAATGCATGCTTGCAGAGGAGTCCACTCAAAGCCAGTCAACTCCCACTTTCTTACCATTGGTTGAGTTCCCAGTGCTGCTGCTGCTTTATGGTGCACCTGCAGAAACTTGTCGCCTACCACATTGGACATGGCATCCCATCTTGGATTGTGATCAGTTACTTTACAACCCACAGTATTTGTAGTGGCAAGCAACAGTAACAGAAGGTTTATGGAGCAGTTAAATGTTCAGGAAAGCACATGTAATGGAAATATGCCACCTAATTTTCCTATTATCCTGTAAGCATTTGGGGTCTTGATTTGGATTGATGGTAAGGCATTTCAGAAGGAGAAGGTTTTCATGAAAGTTCACTGCCCTCCACAAGGGGGGAAGGAGTTAAAAATGGGAACAAAGTCATTTTTGGAAGGGAGGATTGGCATTAAAACGGAACAGAGAAAGTTGTTCTTTGGGGCATATTGAATTCTGCAACACCTATTCAGAAAATAGGTACCACCCTGTAATAAATGTTGGTGATGTGGGATGGCAGAAGCATCATTAGTGCACATGATGTGGAAATGCTCAGTAGTGGCCTCCTTCAGGACAGGAGTTGTTTAGGCCTTGTCCTAAATATATCATTCTTGTTTAAAGATCTCAATGTACTACTGAATGATATTCCCACATCCCAGAAACGATTCTCTGGTTACCACAAGAAGACTATATGAGCCTTCATGATAGCTAAGTGATTCATACTACAGTGATGGAAAGACTGATTATCTCCCTCAATGGACTGGAGACCTCACAACATTGGCATCCAATGAGAGAATATACTGCTGATGACAATCTTGTCTGAACACCCATTCTGACATTTGGTCAACCTACCTCAATCTCTGTTAGGGTGTAGAACAGGAACCTTGAATACTTGTGTGTGTGTGTGTGTGTGTGTGAGAGAGAGAGAGCATATATGTATGTATATATATATATATTATTAGTAATACTTGCAATACCAGTTCAGTGTATCTCTGATTATTACTGTCTGACAGTAGCAACATGTTTTTGTTGTTTCACATTTTTGTTTTGCTGTTTTGTTAAAAAAATAGAGAAGTAAAAACTCAGCCTCCCAAAAAAATTGGTAGGGGAGTATTTAACCCACACTCCTGGAGTACCTCAGTTCGGATACAAATTGAGGCCACTTGTGATTATGGGAGAGTAGGAAAAGTTGGGACATATAGCTTATCTGCCTCTGCTAGGTCACCATCCAGGATGGCTAGGCTGCCTACAAAGTGATTTACAAGGTTTGCTAGTCTACTGTGTGCTGTGCATTCTAGTACAGATTTTGGGTTTTCCTGAGAACCTTTCTGGACAGGGCTGGAGGAGATCTGCAAGATTCTATCCCTTTTGGTGGCAGAGAACTATAGCTGTGCCAATCACAGTGCAGGTACACCTTCTTCCAGCCCTTTGCATGTGTGGGGCTCATGCTGGCACCACCAGCACAGAACCACCCAGTGGTATGAAGAAGGTTGTGGACTGGGGCTCAGACCTCTAAATCTCAAGCTCTATATCTGTAGTATCACAGCAGTAGAAAAAAGAATATTCTTTTGACAGAGTTATTATTATTTATTATTTGTATTTATATACCACCCTAGTAGCCCAGAGGTATGAAAAATTGGAAATGACTTATTCAACTGTTTGCTCTCTTTCAAGAGACCTGACTCCCAAATGAAGTGTGGCTTGGCTAAGAAAAAGGCACCCTTAGTACAATCTATTTTAAATGGTTTGAAAACAGCTTTACAACAAGCAGAGCTCCCATATGACTTAAAACTATGACAAACATTCAGCCAGTGTCCAGGTTCATGTGATCTCTGTAGCCCCAAAGTTTATTTCAACCCCTGCCATCCATGGCAGCTGCAGGTTGTGTTTTCAAGCCACTGTTGGTTATGTCATCTGAGCCTGGGTAGCAGGAGTTTAGGTGGCCAATCCTTCCATAATCCATGGCGCATTGTGGGATTATTGGCTGTTTAACCCTCAGACAAGCCCTGGTTGGGGTTGGGGTTGACAAACCTCATGCAAGCTACTCCAAACATAAAGAAACAAGCAAGGAGACTGTAAGAGATCACATCTGTGATGCATTCAGCCATGTTGTTGTTGTTGTTATATACCACTTATAGGTTAAGCTCCCTGGGCAGTTCACAACATTTGTCACCCATTAATATAATGCTAGTGATGAAAAGATATGGAAAAGGGGAGAGAGAGAGAGAAGGGGAAAAAAGGTTATTTTTGTGAGTGTGAGTGCTATTCATTTTAACTGTTGAACTTTTCTTCAGGTTCTAAATAAGTTAAGGACTGTTTTGATCTGTTGAATGTCAGTAGCATACATTTTGCATAATAAAATAATCAAGCTGTAAATACTTACAATCATTGTCAGCCAAAATGGCTTAAGCCAAGTAACTTTCTTTCCACTATGCACTATAAGAGCATACATCATCTTAAATCATCTGCTTCATCCCATCAATCTGAATGGGAAAATTAAGTGGGAGGTTACATCTCATATTAAAAATCAGTGGAACTTCAAACAACTTAACAAGTAGTTTGGAATTTAATTTGATTCTTTCTTAACATTTAACTGATTTGCTCTTTTGTAATGACCACAAGTTGTTTCTTCTCTTAAATGAATGCTTTTAAGTGAAATCCCATGTCCACCTACTTGGGACTAAGCTCCACCAAACTCAGTGCGACTTTCCTTTGACCTGAGCTATGCAGGATCAAGCTGTAAATAGGAAAAAAATAGCTTTCAACTGCTGTCAGTCCAGAAAGCTAAGGCGAGGAACTTCCCTACTTGTAGCATGGGGGATAATAGATGTTTCCTTCCAAACAGAGCTGATGTGAAAGTGACTGGGATAAATTCATATGCGACAATATGTCTGCACTCATCAGTTGTGCTATATAAAAATGAACCTTCCTATTTTGCTGTTGCAACTTAGCTACAATGAAATTTGTTCTTTGCTTACAGCACTGTCTGCACATTTCCGAGTCTGTGAGCCATATACAGACTACAAAGGCCGCTCCCATTTCGGATTTCACTGCCCACGTCTTTCTGACAATAAATCGTACATCTTTTGCTGTCACCATAACAACACCGTGTTTAAGTACTGCTGTAATGAGACTGAGTTTCAGACTGTTATGCAGATGAACCTAACAGGGAACGGAGATGGATATATGCATAAGTAAGTAAATAAGCCATAATACTTTTCTCCCCACCCCACTTCACAATTTACTCTGGATATAATCAAGATTGTATTGCATCACAGAAACAGATAGAAGAAATGCCTTTAAATATGTATCTCAAAATAAAACAAATACATTGAAATGAAAACAGAAATGACACAAAAGGAGAAGGAGCTGCCATTTTCCACACAGTGCAAATGTTATGTGTAGCTAATTGCTGCTTTAAATTTGTATATGCTTTGCATATTAATTATTTGCAATCACTTCCACTGAAACAGCAAGGTGCATTTGATTGTGCATCCCTGGAGTGTGATTGCTCCTCAAGATTCCTTTTTTGCATTTCAGTCTTAAACCTTGTGACTTGGTTTATTTCTTCCCGCTCCCCTCCTCTATTGCCAGGTCCCTTTTTTGTTTTTGGAAGTACCTTTTAGGAGCAAGTTTGAATAACTTTCATGGAAGCCAATTTCAAAGCAAGTTGAACCAGAGGTCACTAAAGCTTAGCCCCATAACTTGTTTTCAGTGCCAGCACTCAGTTTCAGGAGAAGGTTTATTCACTTGCTTCAGACAGGTGGGTCTAGTTTAGCATTCCTTGTGCAAGCTTACTTCTCTCCCCACCTTCCCTAGGGACAGCCATCAGCGGGATATCAAAACCCTCTGTGACCAGCCACCTTCCCTGCCTGGTGCAGCTGGGCACAGAAGAGGGCACTATGAGCCATCACACCAGGAGCTATTCCTGGTAACTAACCTTCTTTGGTGCCAACAGCAGCACTGGGCACAGAAGAGGGGCACAGCTTGCACAGTATGTGGGGCTCAATTCCTGGTAAGCGCCCCTGCAAACACGGGGAACACTTAGCAGGAACTCAGACTCACAACCACTGCAAAGTAGACCAGAGTCTGGGAATCCCCAGATGAATTCCTCACAGATTCCTAGTAAGGGTTCATGAATCACTAAAGGACTTCAGCATGCCCCACATAACCCTAATATTTCCCCTCTTCTTCTGTTCCTGCAATCCTTCAGACTCAAGCTGATCTTAAGGACTGATTACATATTTTTGTAAGAAAATAACCAATTCCATTCCATTTCCTCCCCTAACACCATTGTCTGTCTGGATAATAGCTATGCTGATCAGGGAATGTCTTGAAATCTGCCCAAGCCACCACCACCCTACAAATGCTCCAAATTTACCAGTATGCAACTACTGGAGAGGGCAAAGGAGAAGACCTGTTTGCTGATGTCACAATGGCAACTCTCCCTTATTGCTTTTGCTAGGGTGGGGGCATTTGAGTCACTGGTTACCTAGGCACATTCTTGCCTAAGCACTTACTGAGTGGTCAACCTGATTTGTCAGGGAAATTGCATGTTAAGAATCCAGGGCAATACTTTTTCAATGTTTGCAAGGTCACCTCTGGAATTTCTAGGAAGTCATCATTCTGTATAAGGTAAGGTTGGGACAAGTCTCTCTGTGTGCAGCAGCAGTAAAAGCTGTTTCATGATGCAACAGGATTGTCTGAAAAACTGGATGTGCCTTCGGGGACAAGAGGGGCCCTCTCTGGAAATCTGGCATGAAATAGCAGATCCCTGCCTTATCAGAGTGCTGCACTGTTTGCCTCTTCTTAATATACTTAGCATGTAAGTGTAGAAGCACATATTAAAAAATGCAGTATACCTCCAGCAGTCTCCAAAGGAAACCAGAAGCCTTAGAATGTCTTGCTGCGCCTGAAACTTCTCACTGCCTGGAGAAACTGTGAGGGTGTAACAATATATCCACTCCAGTTTTTCCGTCTCTGTCATACCTAATTGACCAAGAAACAAAATCCTGAATGAGAATATGTAAGTAAGAGCATGTTGGAACCTTAGTGGAGGATCACCTATAAGAAGATCACAATCCATTGTATTCTTGGATATCTAAGTGATTAGGTATCACTCATTCCTATAGGAGAAAATAGAGCATCCTTCTAGGAGTAGGGAGAGAATAACACTGAGACATGTTGAAAAGGGGAATGAGGAGGGAGTTCAGGGTCTGATGGGGGTAATGTGAAGAGAGTGCCGGAAGAGGTGCTGCAAGGGAGCAGGAGAGACCCACAGGAATATTTCCAGGAGGGGATTTGTAGAACTGGAGTGAAAACAGATGAGGCTAAGAGAAGCGATCCTTTTTCTCTAGCTCATGACATTTCAGGCCCTTTAACTAGGAGGATAATAGCATTTGCTTGCGTTTATTGTTGTGGTTTTTAAAGTATGTTCTGGGGTTCCTCAGTGAGATTAGTAATGACGGAAAACTTCCTAAAAAGATATCTTGCTCCTGGCCTGTTACTTTTTTTTCTTGCAGCAATTAGCTCCAAGGAAATTTCATGTGCATTCTAGGTTGCACACTCAGTGAGAATGGGGCACATTCTAATATGTGGTATCCTCAAATAATTTATGGGGCCAGTGCAGTAGAAAACTTGATGCGCATGGTGTTCCCCATACCCGAAAACCAAGATCTTACAATCTTTTGCAAGGGTAACTAAAAGAATGTAGAATGCAAAGTGTTATTTGAGTTGAGGTTGAGCTGCAACAAGGGTCGCTCCATGAAGGAGAATGCCACTTTTGCATGGGCATGTTTCAATGACATTCTGGGGACTGGGATGCAAAATGGAATGCACATGCCCTTCCATTTAGAGCAAGGGCAGGAAGCAATGTCCTCATTCCTTTGGTTCTGGCAGTTCAGATTTGCATCACATTGTCATGATATCATCCAGTTGGCTCCATGATTCCTGATCATTTGGACCAGAATGAACATAATCCTTCCTTTTATTTTAAACACCCCTCCCCACCCATCACAACTCCACAAAAGCTACTGGAAGTGGAGAAGAGAGGAAACTGTTGCAATATAGTGTGAAAAAGCAAAGTTTTGGGAAAGCCTTTTGGAGAAAGTTTCACACATACACTGCCTATCTTTTTTCATCAGAATGTTTTCCCATGCACATCCAGCTCGGTTGAAATAAGAATTCTTGCAGTTTATTATGATTGACATCATGTGCTTTATCAATTTGCTGACTTATTTTCCATTTGTAATTACATTTTTCTACACTGGATTAGATGAGAATATAGGAAGGGTCTCTATTCACTGTTAGAAGAAACTGACTGTGCTTCCTTAAGTATGATTTATACTTCAGGTGTTCCAGGTAAGCATTCACAGTAATAGCCTTGGATCAGGGAGCTATGCTTATCCTTCTCTCCATACAGGAGATGCTTTAAAGCTGGGCTGGGCTAATTTCACTCCAGTGTCTTCTGCTCCCTTAATCCCTTTGGTCTTCTCAATGCATGTTAAATTGACCATGCTGGCTGGAGATAATGGGAGTTGTAGTCCAGCACATCAGGAGGGCACCCATTTGTGGAAGGCATTTTGTATCAAGGAGAATGGATAGTGGAAGAAAAGTCGATGGTGTCTGAAAACCTGTTTTTAGGGCTGCTTGTCCACCAGCCTGTTTCTTTTCAAGGAGGAACTCCTGGTGAGTTTCCAAAGAGCTCTAAGTGTCCATGGAACACAGCTGAAAAGCCAGTGCTGGAAAGCCATATTTACAGTACTATAACAGAACATTATTTTGTAGGATGCATTGACTATTGCCATGAAAGGGTAGATCTCAAGGCTCCAATTCATCACACAGCTGTTGCTGTGTAAGTTCCAAGGAATAGTTTTTGGTTCTTGGTGATTGTGCTAATTTGCAGAAACTTTCAATTTGTTGCATGCATAAGTATGCATCATATCACATTGATTTCTTTATATTTGCTGTACATGTGACAAGTGGTGCTGAATGTGTGAAAATTCACACATTCAATGTAGTTGAAAAAGCACTACATTGCTACATTGAAAAGCACTACATTGGAAGCAATGCAAAGTGAGATAATTGGTCTGTCCATGGTGGTTCACACATTCAAGTTATAGTTAATGGCCCAGTCATCAGGTGATCAATACAGAAGTGTGAACTAGCTTGCTTCTTCACCAGAAAGCCCTCTCAACTTTTCCAGTGAGGCTTTGAAATTAAAGGCTTCTAGGCTACCACAAGGATAAGCTATCACTCTGTCATAAGCTAAGTGGACGCCTTTGTGAGCTTATCACAAAAGCAGAATTACCTTCTTGGGCAATTTGCCGCTTTCCTCAGATGTGATTCTGTAACCAACAGTGGTGGCTGTAAACCCAATTCTCAATGAAGACAATCTGTTAATGAAATAAACATGGGCAATGCTGATAGATGCAGTTATGAGCTGGGTAATCTCATTGCCCATCCTAAATTTCCCAGATGCCAACTAATAGTTTCTGAAAACAAAAATGGTCCTGTGTTGATGCCCTTAATCTACATCATGGGATGTCCCAAATATTGGCATGTTTTGATTTCCTGCTTCTCACAGGTTTGATGGTGTATGGTTTCTGACTCCCAAAGAGACCTACATCCTATGCCTATTTTGCCTTCCCACCAGTCATTTGTCAAAGTTGTTTACCCCAGATGCTCCTACTTGACTATCATTTTTCACTGTTTTCCTCATAATTTAAGGATTAGTCATGTGAGCAGTCCCAAATAAATAGTGCCCACACACACAGCTAATGAATGAAAAGGATAATGTTGCAGTGCCATCTTTGGCACGGTGATGTCACCCGACGTCAAACTGTAGCCATTTGAGACTGAGAGGAATTTCAGTCAGGAAGACGTTTATACAGATTCTGAAGAGAGGAGGCATGTTCTGGCAATTAAGGAGCAATTTATTATCGATGAAATTGCTGGTTCAAACCCTCCTGCTGTCTACTATCTAGGATTCTAAAATCGAAAAGATACATAGGATCTGTCCCCATCATGGAGCCACAGATATGCATGTCTAAATCTTTCAACAATATCAGGTCTTCAGCTGTTAACAGCTGAGTTTCCTTAGCTGACCCTCAGCATCATGATGGGAGTCCCTCTTGCTTATCTTTGCCGTAGATTTTGCTCTTCTCTTAAATATAAAAAGAAACATTTCCTTAGC